AGTACTTCTCAGAAAATCTGGTAACGCCCGGAATCGAACCCGGGACCTCTGGATCTGTGGCAAGGAATTCTGACCACTGGACCCCAGAGGCGGTCTTTTATTTTAGCTGAAGACAAAAAAAATGCCTTATTGTGAAGTTTGAAGAATTTCATAATTTGTATGTTTCTTAGCGAGAATGAAGTGGACAGGACTTGTAGCACGAGAAACGACTTATTTTGTCAGAAAAGCTGAAGAAAAGGATCAGATGAGAGGCCTAAGCATAGTTTGTATGGTGATATTAATGGTTCTCAAGAAAATGGGATAAGAGATTGTGAATTGAACTCATGAGGTTCGTGGTGAGGATCTGGCTATCGTGAACATGGTAATGAACGTTGTGAGTGTCACGAACTTACTGACAATCCGAGCGAATGTTGCCTTCTCTAGAAGGACTCATCAGAATGGAGTTACTTATTTGTGAGAATGTCTTTCGATGTTACGAATTCAATATGAATCCAGAATAATTCTTTCGTAATTGTGATCTCGCAAGAGGTTCTTTATTTACCAACTCACTTCTTCCTGCCCATTCGAAGTAGTCATCTAACCATCGACAGGGCGGCTTCATGTATTACAAAAATGAATAAATGACTAAAGATATGGGTAAAGTGAATGGGAGTAAGTAAGAATTGTTTAGTATCTGAACAGTTCAACGTCTGATACATTAAATGAAAGTCAAACTATCTCTAACAGTCAAGACTGTATTTAGGAACAGGTTACAATTGCCTCAAATCCATAGTTGCCTTTAACTACACAAACACCAAATGTCTTCGTCAGTAACAAACAGTGTATGGTATCTGTAGAAAAAATGGCGAGTGTAAAGCTGTTCATATGCTTTACGCTTCTTAATATATTGCTAGGTCAGCTTTACGTTTTGGCTGCTTACCTCCAGAGGAGCGAAATCGTTAGATAGAAGTTCCAGTTGGGCGAGAAAGGCTTTTCCGATTTTGTGGTGACGGGGTGAATGTGAGTAGTCCGTTCTCTAGTGGTATCCTGGTCTCCCAGCTCCTAGGCAGTCGCTATACGAATCTACCAAGGCCCAAATTACGTGTCTGCAATTATCGTAATTATTTACGTGAGAGTGTTGACCATAATAATGCTGTTTCTCCTCCCCTTCGACGGAACAAATGGTCTCAAACGGTACTGTCTCTGACTGCGTGTAGGTGGTGCTCGGATATCGGCCGAGACATGACTATTCTGAGAGAGGTTTTCCGTGATTTCCCTCAGTCCCTCCAAACAAATTCAGGGATGTCACTTTAAATTATAAGATGACCGCTTGCTTCCACTTCATTTTTAAGTCACAGTCATCCTAAAATTCGACATTACAAGTGTTTACTGGCCTGTTGCGTAGCAGCAGTGGTGACTGCTCTGCTGTTACCTCACAGAAGGGAAGTGTTTACTGGCAAAATGTGCGTTATCCGGTCGCGCTGAATCCACGAATCCCAACAGCCTGAATCCCTGACATTGTCGTTAAATAAACTGCAGACTAAACTCTTTAAAAAATGTAAGATTCCGTACAGTCTAGCGTTGTAAATTTTTGATCATAAACCTCTTGCATTTTTCAATCACAGAGAGATCTTGAGGCTGTCGTCTTCCCACAGACTCTTGGGACTACTGCACCCCCGCCCCGTAGCCACTCAGTCTTGGAAGAGAACAGCACCTCCCTCGCATCCCTTATGCCCCGTAACATCACTTGACCAAGTCTGCAGAGAGAGGGCGCTTTGGGAGATTAAAAGTGATGCGCAATTTCCCCACTCACTCACAGTTTCCTTATCATCACAGCCGCCCTGCTCTATGCTGACTACGTAACAGAAACATCTTGTACACTCTTGGCGCCTTGTAGCGGATCATAACTGCGGTTCAGCGCATGTACGGGCCTCTTTCAAGGTCTGCATGCACCGTCCGTCCTCGGAAAATAGCTGGAACTGTGAAATTCGGTGTGGAGTAGTGGCAACACTGGCAAATGTGGAAGTAATGTCATCACTTCTGCACACACACTAATATTGATGCATGAAAGTTAGTATTATTTAATGTCTTCACCATTGTTCTTTTAGTAAATATGCAAGTTGCTTTATACTGCTTTAGTAGATTGTAACCTCACTTTAAAATTCATGTATTGTGTTTCATGTGTTTTGACACTGAACGAAGAGTGTGTACGGGTGGCATGTGGCATGCTAGTCATCTGTTTTGACTATTTAGAGATTTCTTATATTTGAATATCATCATCGTCATCACTGGCAAAACAGTCTTTTGAGCCACAGCCTTTCTTAAAATATTCTGCCAGATTGTATCGAGTTTTTATTTCTTATTTTTATCGTGGCAGTATTTCTCTTACAAAGCAAGGTTGTCAGCCTTGCCTCCAACCACCAACTTGGATGAGCAGGTGTCTGTATTTATGTCCCCGCAGTGACAGTGTGGCTCAGTTGTACCCTCTGTGGTCTACATTATCTGGTTATATAAAATATATGTAAGAATATTTTACGCGTGATATATCCTTCAAATATCTTTCATCGTATTTCAAAATAGTTATTAATATTTGAAAAGAAGATATTCCACTTATGTTACTTTTGTGTACGTTTAGTAGATCAAAATGATACTGAAAATTTATGAAACGTTTAAGAAAATTCACTACGAATGGGCAATAATTTAGAGGAAAGAACTTGCTGATGGGAATTTGGCATCTCCCTGAACGACGGAATATTATTTTCTTAATAGTGCGCATCCTGTTGTGTGCCATAAACAAGGTATATAAAATGTATACAAAAATATGCAGCGTACAGAGCAATATTCTGTATTTTAAACAAAGTAGACACTGTCGTATCAACATTTGTTTTAATACAATAGTGTCAACTTTACTGTGGTTTTGGACACTTTCCATCGACCGAAATTCTAGGTAATAGAGGACACGACGTTTCGGAGACTGGATCTGTTTCCGTCTTCAGGTGAAAAAGAAAGACACGTACTCAGTTGGGCCCCTTAGACAGAGATAATCTCAGTCATTTCCTCTTTCTAAGAGGCCCAACTGAGTAGGTGTCTTCCTTTCTCGCCTGAAGGCGGAAACAGATCCAGTTTCCGAAACGTCGTGTCCTCTATTACCTAGAATTCCGGACGATGGAAAAAGTCCAAAACCCCAGTAATTCTGTGTGTCATCCACCATCATCAAAACCCTTTAGAATCTAAGTGTCTGATTTGTTTTAAATACAGAATATTGTTGTGTAGACTGCATACTCTTCTATACCAAATATTATTTCATTAACTTTCAGCAGTAACATTTTATTTGTAATAGAATATGGTACCTGGTGTCAAAATGAAATATTGTAGCAGCGGTACCGAGGACACGCACCTTTTATTCCCCTCAGCAACTAATTAAATTGCGCACTGACATTATTGATGATTCTCTTTGAAAGTTACGGCGTAGCGGCCAGCATTTATGTTCCGTATTTGGAAAATTTCGAATTTCAATTTCGGCTCTGAGACCGATGTTCTGAACCGAGGGTTGTGAACTCACAGTTCTCTTCGGGAATATGCTGGGTAGGAAGATCTGCCTTAAAATAGGCATCACAATTCTTCATAATTGTTTGAGTACGACTATAGTTATGATTGATAAAAATACATATTGTGACGCATTGCCTTACGTTCATCACCGCGACAACCGCTACAATCGGAACGGTGTAAAGTTATTTGTCGCGTTAGACACCCAACACGTGACAATATATATACAAGAACCGACGACAACGTGCAAGGTGTGCGTGACGTACTAAATTCAGACCGTCGGTTAAGTGTGCGCATGATTGCAGATCGTGTTGGCATTGATAAGATGACGGTGCACACCATTATCACTGAAGATTTGGCGATGCGAAAGGTCTGCGCGAAACTCGTCCCGAAGGTCTTGACGGACGACCAAAAGCAGAGATGAGTGGCTGCTTGCGAAGGCCTTTTGCAACGCGTTGAGGACCCCCTACAGTCCCGACTTGGTACAAGCAGACTTTTTACTGTTCCCGAAAGTGAAATCCTGTCTCAAAGGGCACCATCATGGGACCCTGAGTGCCGTCAAAGAGGCTTGCACGCGGACCCTTAAGGATCTTCCGGAATCCGCCTACCAGGGAGCCTTCGTGTCGTGGCAACGCCGTTGGCAAAAGTGTATGGATGCACAAGGGATATATTTTGAAGAATTTTGAGGCATTGTAGCAATATCTGAAATAAATCTATTTTCCCGGAACTTTTCCCGATACTTTTTATACGGACCTTGTAGTGTAAATAGGTAATATTTTCATACTCGTAAACCAAACTCACACAGGCAGTGCTGTTACACATTCATATCCATTTTGAAGTTTTCACAAGGCAACTGTTCACATTGTGGCCTTGCAGCGTGTAGCACTGTCCGCCCTGTTTGTGGATACCTGCTTGTCGGAGGAGCGAGATAGTTCCATCATGAGGGTGTAAATTTGTTGAGAAATTGCTTGGATTATTTAGACAGGTTGCAGATAAAAGTAGCGCGAAGGAGAGGTACCAAAGAAAAACATTCCGATCGAGAACAATAGGAACGGTAGATAAGAAAACACTTTCTCTAAGGCGCATTCAAAATTTTAGTGCAGATGGAAAGTGGATTATTGTGGGGTTGAAATACACTTTCAAGGACACAATGTGTGTTCCTGGAAAAGGCCATCCTTGTATTTCCCAGTTTTTCTTCCAAATACATTTTTCGTCAAAATTCTACACGGTGTCAGAACCTGAAAGCCAAAAAAAAACAGATATGCGCACAGATACAAACACAAACACATGACATGGTGATCCCATAAGCCTACTTTTCTTTCTGAAAAAGGAGTATAGCCTGACACTTACTCTAATAAAATTACAGGCACTTATCCATATATAGTATAACTGTGTACAAGCTTAGCGCAAGGGAGATCGGCACAAGAAAGTAGCAAAAATACACTTGGCATGTGGCTGTAAATCATTGAGCCTACCTTGTATTGTCCCAGTTCTGTGACTAAGCAGCTAAGAACTGCCTCGCGCCCAACAGGAACTGTTATATTCTTGATGGGCTCATTGAAATCAGGGTCCACATCGCTGGCAACAAGTTGAGAATCCGGTGGGGCAGCAGATCCCAGGTCGAGGCCCGGGTCTGTAACAATACAGTAATAATAATTCTCTAGAACTGACTCGATTGGTGAATATATACAAACTGTATACACAAGGGATTCCTTCTCTCCACACTAGGTCTTGCTACAGGTAAATGATTAACTATATTGGGCTTTTGGTTATAATTGGTAAAATCTATTTCCTAAAACAATCCACAATTTTCCCAAGCACTTGTTAATGTAATGCTTGGGATTCGGTACCACACGTCAATTCTCATTCTTACGTTCCGTCCTGTTAAAGCTTAAACCAGTTGTGAGGTGTGAGGTGTTAGGTGTGAGGTTCCCATGGTGGTGACGGTATAGTGTGATAGAAATTAAAGGTTTCGGCGTATCATACAGTTTCCGTTTTCAGGGGAAATCTCTGCTTTCCTGCTCGGCTTACTTTTCGACCCTGATGGTGGAGGCTGGACGTTCTGCGGACACGCTGATAAATTTCTGCTAGATTACACAGCGTCATATCCCTTCGAGATCAAAATCTGTTCCTAACTCATAGTCATATTTCTGAAGGGTCTCCTCACATGTCCAGCCCTTTGGTTCGTTGAAGGGCAGATATAAGGACTCTGCTCTGCCCAGGAATGTTAATGCTCTTCCATAACGTGTTTTTCCATTTGCTGTACGAATATTGGGTTCTTGCGACTAGCGGGTTATCTTTATTTTCATTTAATATATTCTGGTATTTCCTGTGACACTACCCAAGACGTTAATTCTCACCGTTAAATATTAGCAACATTTTATTCTTCCTAACCCATATTTATTTCCATGTAAAGCCATGAGAATTTTCACCACTTTATGAATTTGAGTTTCGCCTCTTTGTCCTTAACCGTTGTCTTCTTGTTCTGTTTATCCTCACATGCTCCTTATTCCTTATTCATGCAGCCTAGTTTATTATTTGCATAACAATTTCGCAAGAAATGCGACTTCCCATTGAGTTAAAATGTGATAGAAGTGTTAAATAATGAAATTAAAAGTACTGACTTTTAAATGACAGTGAGACTGTTATAAATCCGTTGCCAGGATACGACTAGTGAAAACTGAGAACCCTTGTGCGTGTGTAAAGGTGAAATTTAAAGTGTATAGATCAGTGATAGTGCTGTAATTGCCTGTGGTTCCGAGTTGTGTGAATGAGGTGTCAATAAATCCAATCATCCAATCCAAAACCCTTCTACGTGTGAAAATATACACGTGTAGACCCTACATTTCTTGTTTTTGATGTGTCTCGCGGTGATGAAAACGAAGATTACGCCTCTCTGTTAATGTGACACAATGTGACTTTCCAGATGGGTACCAAACTACACCGTGTCACACCCCAGAAAATCACCTTACAGTACACATGTCAGTAGTCTTTTACGGAAAATCACATTTCCTTTTCTTATTCCGGAGGTCCCTATCTCTAATCTCGGACGTGAGAGCGGCTATTTTAAATAAGTATTTTTATTGTTTTCCTCAGTTCCTACAAGAGAATGTCGGTGTAACGTCATGTCCGTTTCCTTCCACATAATTTCGAATTTATCGATATTAATCATTCTGCCGGTCGAAGCTTTGAAGTATGAGTTACTCTGAGCGTCGTTAAATGAAGGGGAAACATTGTTTTTTATAATGTAAATTTTCGTTTTTATTTTGTTTGCTATGGAAGTGTCGTAGTTGCTTACAACCTTTCAGCCTATTTCTGCAGTTGTTGTCGGCATCAGCAAAGCAACGTTCGTGTGAAGTGTACAAAGCGCAACACGTTAAGCTGTAGCGGCTTTATGTTATTATGATATGTTTTAGGGAAAGTTGCCCCGAAACATGATGTGTCTCTTTATGTTGCGGCATATGGAACAGATGCTACAGCAAGCCATTAAGCGTCAGGGCGGTGGAGTGTGCAAGGAAAGACTAGTTTATGGCAGGAGATTTTGAGCACCACAAACCACACACACACAGGAATGTCAGTCAGTACTCCATGGCAACTGCAGACACACACACACACACGCAAAGTTCCATATAAACGGCTCAAGTCTCGTTTACCGACATTTCAATTAGACTATTCCATGAAATGTCGTTAATGACATTAATGAAGTTGGTCCGTGTAGACAGACTTTACAACCATCAGTTTAGTTTCAGAATGGTGTTCCTGTGTTAAGCGCCTAGAAGGGCATAACGTGTGTGTAAAGTGACACGGGATGGTGCGCTGTCTGAATTGACTTTTCGGTTAGATGAGATCCCTGAGATAATCGAGTCTATTTCGACCTGCTGTGTAGAGGGAACTCCCAAGGGAAATCTATAGAGTTGTCCTAAGCAGGTAAGAGTGTCTTGATCATTCGTTCTGTTGATGCTAATCAACACCTGATCCTCTTTTATGTGGAAGGAAGTATGACATGAGAAAATTCTCATCTGGCTTTGAAAGCCACAGTCATCAGCGGTTCTCAATTGTATTTTGCAAACCACTTCATGAACAAAACGTCATCCTGGTAGCAATCAATTTAAAATATTTTTTTTGTAAGCGAATTAGCATAGGAGTATAATATTATTATATTTTATCGTATATATCTCATATATATAATACATAACAGGTACGCTAAACACTATAGTTTCGTCTTAAAAAAATTACAATCTCATTTATATTAATATTTCACCACGGTTAATCAAGGTAAATAAATTATTGTGCACTCAGAATATTGTTCGTTACGGAATTAAAATTATTTTCGTTTTATTAATAATATTCTCCACTACTTTTGGTATTCACTTCTCGTAACGAGATTGTTCTATTCCTGAGTTCCACGCATGCGCGTCTGAATTCTCTGATAAGTAAATGCTCAGGGAGTGAGTGTGTCTTAAACAATGTTGATAATAAGGCGACACATAAATATTGAAGTTTCCCCTTTCTTAGTTTCTCAAATTTGCGTTACATTCAAGCACAACCAAGTTCAAAAATTTTGAGTGTCACTGAGTCAACATTTATTCTTCGCTTGTTCATTAATTGTTCTTTTTCAGCTATAATCTTAGCGTCGAATGGAAATTCATAAGGCAGTTGTAAGTCGATATAAGAGGGTGCGGAAGGTACTATCGCAGTACTTAAAGAAGAAGAATTCAGAAAACAACGAACACCTCAGTCAGTAGATATGAACAATCCAAGCTCTGGATACAAAGAAGTCTTACTAATTATTTAGCCCTTTGTCTTGCGTTCATCAAGTGTTACAATGTTGTGATAATTACGTAATTTTCTTAGCTTCGAAATTACACCTTCAGGCTCTGAAAGGTTCAGAACTCCTTCTTGAGCCTGTTGAAGAACTAGACATGCTGTTAGTTGTGTCTTCGAAGATCTGGCGTTAACAACTTCCTGTTATGAACTGAGGAAATACAGGGAAAACACCCAAAGCAGTCAGGCTTTTGCGATCGCAAGAAGAGCAATATGTAACCTCCTTGAAGGGGCTTTAATAAATTCTGTTCGGGTGACGTTTGCAAGAAGGACTCTTATTTCAATGGAAATAAAACATTGAGGATCAATCATGAAAAACGCTCGCTGGAAGTCGAAGGACCACGATAGAGGCATTGCGAACTCATCGTGGATTTGCTTTTGATGCAGCCTAAAGTGATGGAAAGGCGGACTTTATGGATGTAATAGACTGGCAGTAAAAGTATGTCTACTTGAGGATATGGACAGTCCTTTAAATATTATTATGTTTTAACGTGAATTTGACAGCGCATTTCTTAAGACTGTGGATAAGGAATTCATGGCTGTACTTAGAAACCTGATGTGATGGAAATGAGATTATCAGGAGAATTCTCTGTTTGTGTCTAATGGAAAGGAACTAAGGGGAGGCAGGAGAAAATTACAAAAAGAGAAGCTTCATAATTTGCAAACTTAAAAGAATAGCTTCTGTTGATCCATCAAATAAAGGATGATCAGATGGGTGGGGCATTTAGCACACATTGCAAAATGCATTCCTAATTTAGCCAGAATGTTTGAAAGGAAAAAAAGAAAGCCACTTAGCAGTTTTAGATTTCGGATTTACATTTCAATTGGATCTACAGAATTAGGGCTTGCAGATGTGATCGGTTGAATTATATTGGGATAAGATCTAGTAGCGGGATCTTATGAACAGGATAGTAAATATTCGCGTTCCCGCAATGAAAGGCCGTTTATATTGTGCCGAGTTTAGTGATAACTGCTTCATGACAAAAGGTTACACTTGTAAATTAGGACCCGTATAATTGTATAAGCATACTGAATGTCACCATATTTATCTAATTCCATATTTGCTGCAAGATTTTATATTTCGTTTAAATGTGTAACGTTTAGGCATGAAATGAATTTACCTTGTTGCAGGTAATGGAAAACCTATGATGTAATTTTTGAGAAAGAAAAGGACGTTGCTCTCAGTTCTGTTGTGCTACCTTCTGATACTGCCAAGTCGTGACGATGTCAGCTATTTAAGGCTATATTTTAAAACTTTCGGCCTAACAAGTACCAAGTATTTGTTTCTTTGTATAGCTTGTAAATGTCATATATACCAGGTCACGGTAGGAAATTGTGTAAGATTCTCTACGGAAATCAGTTTTTCATAAGGAGCACATTGTGATCGTCCTTATTCCAGAACGCAACTAGAATTAGATGTTATTGCAGTGACCACGAACTGAAGAGGAGGCGGTGTTCATACCTGTAACGATTGAAGTCCTGGTTGCGCATGCGTGGTTATCCTGAGTATCGTCAGTAAACTCGATGTGGATAGTCCTTGCTTCGATTGATGATGTGCGCGGCGTGTCCGGTTGTGTTTGCGATGGTCGTCTTTCCTTGCAGGTTTGAATTTCGAAGACTGATAGTTATTGACAGTGAAATTACATTCCTGAGTAGCTGGAATGCGTTTTTTTTTTTGGGGGGGGAACTTGAAAAATGAACGATATCAGTTTAGATTTCCTTCCGTGCTTTAAGGTTAGGCGATTTCTATGGCCCTCGAGAACCGGAAGTACATAAGGATCGCAGACTAGAATCCCGACTGAGACGAGC